GTTTTATTGGGATATACTATGCTAGTTGTTTTGTGCATTTATTTTGTATCTTGTAACATTACAGAATTTATCATTTTATGAATTGTTTTATGGAGTTTTAGGTTTTTCAGTATACAAGGTCATATAATCTATAAACAGTTAAAACTTCCAGTGAAGAGTTCAAAATGCATGTGGTATGATGAACTTGTCTTTACTAAGCATCTGTCCTATGTCAGTATGAAGTATGAATATGAGATACAAAATCATGTAAAAATCATATATGATATACAAAGTCATAAAAGTTACTGAAAATAGAATTTGCAGGATACCTGTTGGCCTTCTTACATATACCTATAGTCTTGTTTGTTCTTAATATCCCTAGATCTCATTAGGGAGACTAAATAAATATGAATACAAACAAAATAATATATCATATATATCCATATCATACTGATTATAAGTCTTAGAGGAACTCCAAAAAGTGATTGAAACATCAGGATAAGATTCATAAATATGAGTAAGGATTTGGACTGGTTTTGTAGGATTTCTCTATAGCCATAAGCAAAGACTGGAAGGGAACTATAACCAATCATGGGATGAACTAAATCCCCTTATCTTGTTGGCATGTATTTAAATGAATCAGTATATATCATCATTACCTACTTATATGAAAAGAAAGTTTCCCATGTCTGTGTGTAGGGAGGAAAGGTGAGAAGAGAGAGAGAGAAATGGGACTGGGAAGGAGATGAGAAGAGGGTCTCATTTTTTAAAGCTCATGATGGAAGAATAGCATAAGTATAGATACATGTGTAAGTTTCTGTTGTCTGATATAGGCTATTATGACCCAGTTCATGGGGCGCAAAGAATGAAGAGTCTACTTTTAAATGCTCACTGTTGAGGAAGAGAATTAACCACTGCCATAGACCAATCAAATGAACTGTATTTTCAGTGTTGATTGAAAAAAAATCTGAAACAAATGCTTTACTTAGAGGGCCCTTAACCTGAATGTTGCAGATTTTTATCACAGTATTATTTTAGTTAATTCTTGTATGTTACATTTTGGTCTTTGACTCTAAATAAACGTTTTGTGTTCATAGCTTAACCTGCTGACTCCTACTTTAAGTGATTTCCATTAATGCTATATGATGGTTCTTGGAGCACTAGGTCAAGGTTTGATGAGGAAATATTATTTTTCTTTCCACCCCTTATTTAAAAATTATGTCAAGCTTTTGATGTCACAGGGCATGCAATTTGACTAAAGGCAATGTTATTGTATGATTCTGTAAATTAGTCCAGAGATAAAAATCAGAAGTGTTCTATGATTTATCTTCCTGGTTCCAACATGCTAAAATCATTATCTTATTTGCATTGGCATGCCAACCAATGGCATTAATCATCTTCAAAGATTTCTCCTGCTCTGAAAGTCTGTTAGGGTAGTTCAGTACTATGTCACAGAAAATGTTATAGAATAAATCCAGAAAGGAAAGAGATGGGGGAGAGAGGGGAGTTCTCAAGGACAAAGAAGGACCAAGTGTGGCAAGAAGTGATTTGCTTACATTTTGACATTGATGAAAGCCACAAAGAGAGTGAGTTATCAAAGTATTGATTTAGGGTAGACTCAGGCAGGAGGGGGGAAAAGAAAGCTACATAAAAGTAAACGATTTGTCATTCTTCATTCAGACAATGAGCTGAAATCCATTTGCCTCAGTGTATTTCCACTTGGAATGCCAATCAGCAGGGTGCAGAGAAAGCTTGAAAAACCTATGGAAAATTCTATTCTTAAGCCTTTAATACATTTGATAGCCATTATAATACCTCGGAATGGCCAAGGCAGCTTCTATGAAAACAATCTGTTTAGTCTGATTTTATCAAATAGTGTATATTTCATTAAAATGCCACTGGAGACAATAAATGACCACAAGATTTGTGGTAGGAATCTAAAAAAGAAAACAAATCAAACTGGAAAAACAACAACAAACCTAATTGCCAGAGATCTTTTTGGCCTGAGAAGTGCTTATTTAGTCTCACTTTGATTGATTAAAATATAATGAAATATTAGTTTTTATGCATTTTACTTGAAAAAACTATTTCCATGGGGATGGCTAGCTTTCTACTTAGTTATTGGATGCTTCCTATCATTACTGCATGTTGGCCAGGGTATTGAGAGGAAACCTTTTATTTCTCTCTTTTGTTATATATGAAAGGCCCCTTCCTCCCAGAGTGCTCAACCTACCAGGATGTATATGACCATGTGTGAAGGGATAGAATTTTTTTAAAGACAAACTCTCGTTTTACATCTCAGTCGAATTTCACAGAGAAAAGCTATGATTATATGCCCTCTACTCTGGAGATTCTTATGACATTTTGTCCTTTCTTCCTCTCATAATCCTGTCTCACATCTAAGACGAATCTTTCTGTATAATCTTTGGCTCTCATCTCCCACTCTGTCCTTTCAGAAACCTTTTATAGCCTTTGGTCTAATTTCAGTCTTTTCCTTCTCAATGCATCCATTAGTATTGGAACACAGAGAGCTCACATACCTAGCAGCAGCAAGGCTGACAAAAACATCAGTAGTAAACATTGCACAGTTCCAAGCCTGAGATCCCTAGGTTGGGTTATCCCTATCACTCCTCCCTCCTTCCCTCCCTCTCTCCTTCCCTCCCTTCCTCCCTCCCTCCCTCCCTTCCTTCATTCCTTCATTCCTTCATTCCTTCATTCCATCTTTCCTAACATTCCTACCTTTCTCTCTTTCTTTCATATTTCCTCTACTGGTTCTACAAATTGGCTGTCTAGAAGTCCATGTACTCCTTATCACACCATGGCTCAGATGTCTTTCTCTGTCTCTCAATGTTTCCATCATAGAGAATGGCAGCACATCCACAGCATTGTTTTTGTCTGTATCCTGAGAACCATTAATCTCCCTGATTTTTTTCACCTTTCCATATGCCATTAATTATCTAGTTCCATTTCTTTGGCCACTAAATATGTCAACTCTACTCACTTCTTTCCATCCCTGGTATTCCTCTCTGGTTTAGGAATATGGCCTTGCTCTTTCTGCATGCAGGTGATATTCTAGATTGAAGAGTTTATCAAGATTTAAGGGTAACTAAGTTCGGTATGAGCAAAAGATGTCTCTAGGAGGCTCCATGTCATTTCTGTACCTCTGTTGTTGGGCTTCCTATTATAAATGGTCACTTCAGCATCTGATTCTTAGTTACATTTCACTTCCTTGGCATTTTCCTCTGATTCGTGGATAGAAAGAACATTTTTTTCGACTTCTAGAAGCTCTGTACTCACAGTTGTCATCTAGGCTCGGTGGTCAAGGCCCCGCTCTGGCCTTCAATAGCTGTTTGAGTTTACACAGATCATCAACTTCTAACTCCCTTATTTGTAAAATAAGTGGCTTTCTGAAATGCTCATGGAGCTTAACCCTGTCTGTACATAGGGCTCACCAATGGAGCTTTTAAAAATCCCACTGCCCAGGCTGAACTCTAGACTGGTGACACTACTGTCCTGTTGCCTGGACTCGAAGATTGATTGATTATTTATTTTTAATTACTTTTAAAATCAAGACTTTAAAACCCCCTCCTTGATTCTAATATGCACATGACAGTGGGAATTATGACTTAATTATTTAAATGAGATTTTTTTTCCTTCCATCATTTCATGTTCTTGTCATTCCTGGATCCCAATTTGAGCTTTCTCTTTCTTTTAGTGTTTTTACTAAGTTGGAAGAAATAGCTGTGAAGCTCCCCCTTTTCCATCTGCTGTTTGTTCTTATTTACATATGATGGAACCTAGCCCACTGATTTACAGCTCTGGTTCCCCTACAACTGTTATTGAACTGAAAACATAACTGAAAACTTATTAAACAGAGAGAAATTAATTTTCTCTCTGAGTTTTATGCTGACAATTCCTTATGGAACAAAGGGGATGGTTATAGTATTAACAATTGATCTATAGCTTCATGATCTCGAAAGTAAATATAATCCTGGAACCAGGTTCCATGTTTTTTTTTTTATTGGATATACAATTAAGGAAGTCAAGGCATCTGTACAGGTGAATAGGATTCCAGGGCATACATCTGTACACAGCAGGGTTTCCTCACACTTTTGCAGCAATGTCTCTTTCCACAGTTTCCTCACCCCTGTTATGGCCCAGCAGAGGTTGTCAGCAAAACATCCTCAACACTGATGTGATCTCATTCTTTAAATGCCTGGGGAAAGGCCTTTCAGAAAACTTCTATTCTACAGATGCTGCCTTGTACCCAGCATTCTAGATCTGAATAAGACTTTGCTGGGCTGCCAGGGAGGAGAGAGCAGTAGAAAGGTAATAGACCATGACTAAGCATTTGGTTTCACTACTGACACTGAATTTAGAGAGATTTGGGGGTCTTCACATTAAGTCTGATTCAAGTTGGCATGATGTCCTTTGGGGTGCTGTATATCCCAGCATGATTTTTTTAACCACACCTCTTTTGATTGTTGCTCACTTTCTTGGGAATGTCTATTTGAAAAATCACAGTCTGTGCTTTTGCTTGGCACTCTCAGGTTGTGATAAATCTCTCTCTCTCTCTCTCTCTCTCTCTCTCTCTCTCTCTCTCTCTCTCTCTCTCTCTCTCTGTTGTGTGTGTGTGTGTGTGTGTGTGTGTGTTGTGTTGGAACTAGGGATAGAACCCAGGGCCTTGCACTTGTTAAGCACACAATTTACCATTGAGCTACATTCCTCAGCTCTTATTAAATTATTGAAATTTGTTGTTACATTGATGGAGATGGAGCTATTTAGTAGCTACATACAGGTATGTGATTGGTTAGTGATAGCTTTTGGGGAGTTTACCGTCACCACCTTGCATCATTTGTTTACAGATGCCCCCTCCCAAAAAAGTCATAGCATAAAATTGAACTGAAAGACCCCCTCCTATTTTGAACCTTGAAGTAGTTTTGTTGCAGCCTGATTCAGGTCGAGGAAACCTTGGCTGAAATTTCTGGCTTTGACGCTGCTCTTTGGGTATTTTCTTATAGATGGAAGAATTGATTGAGGGTGTTCGCTGGGCCTTCATTGACATGCTGGAGAAAGAAAATGAATGGATGGATGCAGGGACAAAAAGGAAAGCTCAAGAAAAGGTAAGGATTTCTTTGAATGAAAGAAAAAAAAACCCTCACTGTTTAATGGATTTTCATGCTTGACATTGACTGTACAGTTTATTTATTTATTTTTATTGACTGAGCTGTTGGCTCCAAATGACCCCAGAGGTAGATGTGTGCTTTTGGATGAACACATAGATTTCATCACCAGGAGGTAAGAGAAAATAAGATCTGACTTGTTCTTTCTCTAACTGCATTTTCAAATGCCATGTAATTGAGCCTTTGCTTCACTCCTAATTGCTGCCTGTAAAAGCCACATGGCTTACTGCCTAGTGAATTTTGCTATAAACCATCATTGGATATGGCAGAATGTAGAGCAGTGGGGAGCTATGGGAAGCAGCTGGCAGAAGGGCCCTCAAGTTGCAAAGAAGAAAAACCCATATTGCCCATGTGTCTTCTCCATTTGTGTATGATGTGTGCAAATGTCCTGAGGCAAATATTTTCCTGTAGTAAAGTACATCTACTTCAGAACCCACTGTGTTCCACAAATGGCCCAAAGGGCATGCTTATAAGGTATACATGAGTGATGGACCATTGCAGAGTAATAGTAATGTTATTTTCCGCCACAAGTGTGCACTTGTGAGGCTTGGTAAAAATTCTCGGATGCTATTCAACAAAATAAAGGAATAAACAGGGAAATTCTGAACAGCTATATTGTCTATAAATAATGAGGGGGTCTACCTTGAATTGGAGATATTCTTCTGGAGCTGGAACTCAAATGGGCAGGGCCAGAGCATACCTTACTGTTTCCCATTGAGATTCCACTCTGTATCTGGAGAGGCTCTGAAATTAGGAGCAATTCTTTTTAGACAAAGTTTAGAAGTCTTACTGGTGATAGCAGTCACCAATGGGACATTGACATGCAAGAGCACGCTAGGCACCCTACTGACATGATGCTTTAGTGTATCAGGTTGGAAGTCTATGTACTTGTGATTTTAGCCATACCCATCTCTTACTATTATCATTAGATACACTGCTTCAAGTAATTCCTTATACCAGTAATTTTGCCTTAGAGTCAAGAAACAAGGAGGTTCTCACTATAGCCTTGTTGAAATAGGACTTCTAGGCAGTCCCATATCTTCTGGCAAAAGTTTTTTTTTTTTTATAGAACCTTTCTTACTCTCAAGATTGAGATGCCTTATCATAGATATTTTTGTTAACAGGAATGAAAAGGCAGATGGGTATTTGCAATGAAGAAAGACTTTGAACAGTATTGGTGATGGTCTTGGAAGAGGACAATGAGTAATTTTAAATCCAAGATCTGTCAAAGCAGTTTTAGGTCATGCACAGCACAGGCTGGAGGAGGCAGGGACACACAGGCTGTGGTGAGACATTCTCCATATGTTAGATGAAACTCTTGGCACCAGCAGCACATTGTTGTTTTTTGAAGGCTTGGTTTACTTAAAAGGTAGCTTGTGATGTGTGGGGCAGGATGTGTCTTGCACTGAATAGTTGAATGATCAATGTGTTTGGCACTCTTTGTTTTAGCTTAGGGTTCTAAAGTATCAATATTCATAAGATGACTAGTGTGAAGAGAGAGGAAGAGAGATGGAACGAAGGAGGGACAGGGAGCTAGAAAGAGAAAAAGACTATGAATGAGCGAGTTATGGATATTTGGGAGCCTGTAGTCAGCTTTTCAGAAATAGAAATTAAGGGTACTTCCGAGTGCTTGTTGACATTCCATTAGGGAACGACTGTCTTGTAGCCGGGTCTTCTAAGCAAATGGTCTGTGAGTCCTTCTTTAAGGAAACTATTCTCAGTCCTTCTAATATTAGACATGTTTCTGTTGGCCCTCTGGGTTGATCGCCAGTATTTTATTTCATTTCAACCAGAACTGTCACTTTTTTTCTTCTAAAAGTATTCTTTGAACACTCTGCTTTCTTTGAGCTGAGTTCAATCTGCCAGGAACTCCAGTAGCAGCTCGACAGGCACAAACATCAAAGGCAATCCTCCTTCTGGATCTCATTAGGTTCCCCGAGAAGGTATTGTAGATTAAGGTTCAGAGAAGTCCTAGTAATGCAAGATAAGAAATGGGGTGTTGTCCAAGGATCTCCAGCAGTTCTCCCATTCACTACTAGCCCTAAACCCCAGAATACAAAGATTTTTCTTTTCCTAACTTGAATTAATGCGCGATTCTAGAAATGACCTCTAGGTGACGCTCACGGTACTAACAAAGCAGAGAGAAACTGCAGCCCTTTGTGCTGCTTTTCACTCTGGGACGGGTTTTGAAAAACCAAACCAAACCAAAAAACCACACCCCCCACTCCTTTTCCTTCTGCTTTCCTCAATTTGATTGCCTTTTTAATAGTCAACAAGAAAGAAGAGACTCTGCCTAATAATTCCTTGAGTCTTAGATGGAAATCTCTATCTCCCTGCTTTGTCTTTCTGATATGGAGAAGCCGCTGCATTAAGAGAGGATTTGCCCGCATTTGAAGTGGAGGTGAATAATTCGCCTTCTCTTCCTGGTATGACTTGGCACTGTTTTTTGGGCATGTGCTGTATGCAGTATATCACCCAGGCGGAAGATTTCTCATCAATAATAGTGCCCACACTGGGCTGATGCTGAGTCACTTGGCTACCCATTGGGAAAGCTGAAAAAAAATGTTCTGATTTGTGAGGGGCTTAAAGCTTTTCTTTCTCTCACCATGAAGCTCCGGACTGCAGCTAATTAAAGTGCCACCTAAGATGTGTTGACCTCAGCTTTCCTTTGTGACCAAAACGACCAAAACTACCAAACTGAGTGATAGGGAGACTCAGATACTCTGAGTGGTCTGAGGGCCTTACCTCTTGGTTTTTATGGCAGTGACCCTGCCTCAAAACGGAAATGTGTGAATGGGCTTTGTTGTCCTCTTTGCTAGGAGTGATCACTGTAAAAGATAAATGAGGATGTCTCTGCTTCCTTGAAGGGTAAATTTGTTATCTCTGTCTCCCTGCCTTTTCCTGCTTCTCCCTGGAGAGAGGTCATTGGTATTTTTGTGTTTTGAAACTCAGTGTGTTGATTTCAAGTGGAAATTTAATATTGGGAAATAAGCACCCATTTTTATTTAAGATTCTGCATTTCCTGCAAACATATGCTCTTTAAAAATTGTTTTTTTTTTTACTTTATAATAGAATTACATCATTTCTACCTCCCTTTTCCTCCCTCCAAACCCTTACAGTATATAGTTTTTGCCACTTTCAAATTCATTGCCTCTTTTTTCTTTCAGCAAAGGACAAGGATGCCTGCTGTTTTTCTAGTTAATAGAGCCTTTGAATAGGCATATAGTGATAATTGAGTGATTTGGGGTGTCTTCTGGAGGATTTACAGTGTCCAGAACAGAGGAGGAGTCCCCCAAGGTCACTATGGAAGGGACTCTGGCTGCCTTTGGCCTCCCTGGCCAGTTCTGAGTCAGATATGAGGAACAGCTTCCTGAGAGCGACTCAGGCTTGTTCCCCAGCTGAATTAATCACATAGCTCAGTGCTGCACCACCTCTGAACTGTTTCCTTGTGTGCTTTGCACCTGGGGTCGAAGCTTGTCAGCCCATGCCCAGAGAAAAGAAATACCAGCACAGAACACTTGGGGAGGCAGTGTCCTGAGGGTGGCATGAGGGAGTAGCTGTGGCCTTGGCCACAGCAGGTATAGAGAAGTTGGCTGCCTGTTCCCAACTCCTCAGGCATAGGACTCCCACGCACAGGCTTTGAGTGAGGTAGGAAGATTTCCATTGCAGAGAGCAAAGCAGAATGTGCCTCACCTCTTTGCCTTTGTCACTAAACTCTGCTAATCCCAGGCACTGCAGTATGCACAGCATACAGTCGGAACTGACCAGTTAGGACCCTGCTTACTACCCTCTGAGCCCATGGTTCTGAGGGTGTGCTTTTAGATCTGAGGCACTTAGGAGCTTGTTACCCAGGCACATTTCCCCATACCTGCCTCAAGATTAGGGGTGGGGTGAGTCCTTATTACTTCACTGCATCCATGTCTGACTTCTAACTGCCTGTCCCTTCATTCTTCCCAAGGTCTCTTGTCCCTCTGGAGTCTCCTGTGAGTGGCACAGCATTCAGAAGACTCACCATACCGTGCCTCCTCACTGGCCCTTAGCCAACAATTGGTGGAAGGTGCCTGCCCCTGCTTCTTCTATAACTGTTCCCAGGGGCTTCCCCCCCCCCCCCCCGTGGGCTTGAGCTTCCTGCCAAAAATGCCTTTGCTGCCTGCCTTCCTTCCTTTACCCCTTTTACTTTTGAAGACTTCTTCTGTTGTTTCTTTGACTCCCCCGCCTAATTCAAACACTATATGCTTTAATCGTAGTCTCCTGCTCTGTCCCTAAGGAGACAATGAATGAAGACACAACCTCTGGGTTAGATCCTCTTCTCATGCTTTCTTCCCTTTAAGATAATAGTGCATTTCACTGAATCGGGATACCAGCATTCTTTCAGCAAATTCAATTCCACAAGCATTTGTAGCACACCAAGAATGTGCCAGGAAATGGGCTGGGAGCTGCAGATTTTAGAAGGTGTGTGTGTGTAATCAGCTGCGGTCCCTCTTCTGCATGTGCTTTCACATACCTAGGTGACACAGGGATGCTATGGATGCTGTGCTGGTAGGGGAAGGTTATTTAATAGAGAGTCATAATAAAGTGGTCCTGGGGACCTAGGAAGGGAATCTTTAAGGAGCTGAGACAGGCTGTCTCTCAGGGTGTTAATCCTGCCTCTTTCTCTCTTCCTCTGTAACGACCTTCTACTGAGTGCCTCATCACTTGTTATTTGGAACAAGTGCTCCCAGCAGTGCTCCTCTCCCTTGGTGACTTTACTCCTGCTGGACTACACAGTTTCCATTGGAATAGGTTTGGAGAGGAGAGGAGAGGAGAGGAAAGGCTTCAGCCAGGATGTCTCATGCCCCTATTTGTTAGAGGTTTCAGTGTATTTGCAGAACATCGAAGAATGCAGTCATTCTGTTTCCTGCATCTACTCTTAGTATTCAAAAGGAACAAAGAATGTGCAA